GTACGAGCCAGCGTGAGATGAGTACGAGCCAGTGTGAGATGAGTACGAGCCAGTCTGAGGTGAGTACGAACCAGTGTGAGATGAGTACGAGCCAGCGTGAGATGAGTACGAGCCAGTGTGAGGTGAGTACGAGCCAGTGTGAGGTCAGTACGAGCTAGTGTGAGGTCAGTACTGGAAGTGGGTAGGTGTGAGTCCGCATGAGAGGTAAAGGCATGATAGTGTAAGTGTAGTGTTGTTGTGGACATGATCACCCAGGGTAGGGGAGGGCCAGCCTCCCCCCAGGGAGTGCACGGTAGTTTCTCCTGGGGTGGTGCTCGGTGCTCCACTGTCTCCTTCACTACCAAGAAAGTTTCTCCAGTCACTTGTTACGTAACAACAATCTGAAATCCATATGGTTTTTGGTGTGTACTTCCCTGTGTTGTAGTGTTGTGTACTTCCCTGTGTTGTACTGTTGTGTACTTCCCTGTGTTGTAGTGTTGTGTTCTTCCCTGTGTTGTAGTGTTGTGTACTTCCGTGTGTTGTAGTGTTGTGTACTTCCCTGTGTTGTAGTGTTGTGTACTTCCGTGTGTTGTAGTGTTGTGTACTTCCCTGTGTTGTAGTGTTGTGTACTTCCCTGTGTTGTAGTGTTGTGTACTTCCCTGTGTTGTAGTGTTGTGTACTTCCCTGTGTTGTAGTGTTGTGTACTATCCGTGTGTTGTAGTGTTGTGTACTTCCCTGTGTTGTAGTGTTGTGTTCTTCCCTGTGTTGTAGTGTTGTGTACTTCCGTGTGTTGTAGTGTTGTGTACTTCCCTGTGTTGTAGTGTTTGTACTTCCCTGTGTTGTAGTGTTGTGTACTTCCCTGTGTTGTAGTGTTGTGTTCTTCCCTGTGTTGTAGTGTTGTGTACTTCCGTGTGTTGTAGTGTTGTGTACTTCCCTGTGTTGTAGTGTTGTGTACTTCCGTGTGTTGTAGTGTTGTGTACTTCCCTGTGTTGTAGTGTTGTGTACTTCCCTGTGTTGTAGTGTTGTGTACTTCCCTGTGTTGTAGTGTTGTGTACTTCCCTGTGTTGTAGTGTTGTGTACTTCCCTGTGTTGTTAGTGTTGTGTACTTCCCTGTGTTGTAGTGTTGTGTACTTCCCTGTGTTGTGTACTTCCTTGTGTTGTAGTATTGTGTACTTCCCTGTGTTGTAGTGTTGTGTACTTCCCTGTGTTGTGTACTTCCTTGTGTTGTAGTGTTGTGTACTCCCTGTGTTGTAGTGTTGTGTACTTCCCTGTGTGTGTGTACTTCCTTGTGTTGTAGTGTTGTGTACTTCCCTGTGTTGTAGTGTTGTGTACTTCCCTGTGTTGTAGTGTTGTGTACTTCCCTGTGTTGTAGTGTTGTGTACTTCCCTGTGTTGTAGTGTTGTGTGCTTCCTTGTGCTGTAGTGTTGTGTACTTCCCTGTGTTGTAGTGTTTTGTACTTCCCTGTGTTGTAGTGTTGTGTACTTCCTTGTGCTGTAGTGTTGTGTACTTCCCTGTGTTGTAGTGTTGTGTACTTCCCTGTGTTGTAGTGTTGTGTACTTCCCTGTGTTGTAGTGTTGTGTACTTCCCTGTGTTGTAGTGTTGTGTACTTCCCTGTGTTGTAGTGTTGTGTACTTCCCTGTGTTGTAGTGTTTGTGTACTTCCCTGTGTTGTAGTGTTGTGTACTTCCCTGTGTTGTAGTGTTGTGTACTTCCCTGTGTTGTAGTGTTGTGTACTTCCCTGTGTTGTAGTGTTGTGTACTTCCTTGTGTTGTAGTGTTGTGTACTTCCCTGTGCTATAGTGTTGTGTACTTCCCTGTGTTGTAGTGTTGTGTACTTCCCTGTGCTATAGTGTTGTGTACTTCCCTGTGTTGTAGTGTTGTGTACTTCCCTGTGCTATAGTGTTGTGTACTTCCCTGTGCTATAGTGTTGTGTACTTCCCTGTGCTATAGTGTTGTGTACTTCCCTGTGCTATAGTGTTGTGTACTTCCCTGTGTTGTAGTGTTGTGTACTTCCCTGTGCTGTAGTGTTGTGTACTTCCCTGTGTTGTAGTGTTGTGTACTTCCCTGTGCTGTAGTGTTGTGTACTTCCCTGTGTTGTAGTGTTGTGTACTTCCCTGTGTTGTAGTGTTGTGTACTTCACTGTGCTGTAGTGTTGTGTACTTCCCTGTGTTGTAGTGTTGTGTACTTCACTTTCTTGTGTTGTAGTGCTGTGTACTTCCCTGCGCTGTAGTGTTATGTACTTCCTCTGTGTTGTAGTGTTATGTACTTCCCTGTGTTGTAGTGTTGTGTACTTCACTTTCTTGTGTTGTAGTGCTGTGTACTTACCTGCGCTGTAGTGTTGTGTACTTCCCTGTGCTATAGTGTTGTGTACTTCCCTGTGCTATAGTGTTGTGTACTTCCCTGTGCTATATATAGTGTTGTGTACTTCCCTGCGCTATAGTGTTGTGTACTTCCCTGTGCTATATATAGTGTTGTGTACTTCCCTGTGCTGTAGTGTTGTGTACTTCCCTGTGTTCCAGTGTTCTCGGTTAGAATATTTCCTCGTACTCCACCACGATACCCAAACTAAACCTGGAGTAATGATAGATATATTCCTTCGTGCACTTCATGTCTGCAACATTGAATTCCTTAAGAAAGAATGATCTTTTATCGAACATGTATTTTCTAAACTTTTCTAACGTAACCTAACTTTCACCTCAACTAACCATTATACCACAGAAAGAAAACACCTGCTTAAACTACACCATAAAACTGGAGTACTATGATAGGCTAAATACAAAATGAAAGTACACATCAAATGATACATAACTGTATATTCTGATGTGATTCTTGTTGTTTGGATGACGTTCAGTACTAGTTCCACCGAGAGTCATGTTTGTGTAGGCTGTGTGGCGGGGCCCCTGGCCCTGGGCTCTTCCCTCAGTCCGACTCGAGATTGTTGACGAATAAACGCAATGTTTAGCTCCGAACAGCTTTAGCTAAAGCCGTTCGGAGCGTGACGGCAAGCACCATCGGCGGTTAACCGTCAGTCCAGCTTTTTAACCGCAACAACACTAATATACGCTATTGAGCTGAATTACCGCGGCTGCTGGCACCAGACTTGTCCTCCAACTGATCCTCGTTACTAGTTTTGTGTTAGAAGTTTAATTTTTTTATATGATTTTAATAAGTAACATTTTGACAATGTTGTGAAACACTGAGGAAAACTATTTTCAACACTTGAAACCACTTGTTATGAATTCTCAAATGGATAAGCTTTCACGGGTTTCATGAGCAATACTGACTTAATAACGTCTCTCAGTGAGCCATGAAATGTAAATAAATGGTTTAGAAAACCGTTAAGTTGATAAATGAGACACTTGTGCAACATTTGTGTATCTTTTACGGTGGAAACTTTTCTCCAGACTTTTCTGTCAGACACTCCAGGCAGTCGCTTGTTCAGTCTAATGTAGAGGAAGATGAGGAGGTGGTGACTCCGACACCACTGTTCAACCTCATCTATCATCACTATATGAGCTCCATCTCTGAGAATATGCTGCACTTTTATCAAGATTGATGGACTGAACACATCAACTCCAGACTGAGTTGCACGAGTCTTATTTATCAGTTATGAAATGAATGAAGAGAAACCATTTCTGTCATATTTCATAATTTTAGTAATGGGGATATATTATTGGGAAGTTTTATAATTAAGTTGGTTCTTAAGTTATTTTCGTAATATGTTACGCAGTTTCATGACAGCCAAGGTCAAGGAAGGACAGTGAAAGGCTGAAGAAGGTCATGGAAACGGGGTGACTTCACTACCAGTATTTTCATTCTCTCTGATCGTTTTTAAATTAAATTTTTTCGCCACTGCTATATAAGTGATACTGCTTAACGACATTGTCTGAGTCTTGAATATTTATGTAAATGAATGGTTCAGAGAACCGAAAAATTGATAAATTAGACCCATATGCCACATTTAGGTATCTTTAATGAGGAATCATTTCGCCACACAGTGGCTTCATCAGTCCATACCAAGGAAGATGGTGAAGAACAGGAGGAGTTTGAGGTAATCAGTCCCTCAGCCTTGAGTCGATGTGATCATGTAAGGATGATCATGTAAGGATGATCATGTAAGGGTGATCATGTAAGGATGATCATGTAAGGGTGATCATGTAAGGATGATCATGTAAGGATGATCATGTAAGGGTGATCATGTAAGGGTGATCATGTAAGGATGATCACGTAAGGGTGATCATGTAAGAATGGTCATGTAAGGGTGATCATGTAAGGATGATCACGTAAGGATGATCATGTAAGGGTGATCATTTAAGGGTGATCACGTAAGGATGATCATGCATGGATGATCACGTAAGGGTGATCATGTAAGGATGGTCATGTAAGGATGGTCATGTAAGGGTGATCATGTAAGGATGATCATGTAAGAGTGATCATGTAAGGATGAAGTGGGAAGTATTGCAATAGTATGTTGTGTCTGTATCACATATTTACAAAGTAGTCTGTTAACTCAGTCAGCTGGACTGTGTTTGTGAGAAACTTTTGATTCTTATACATGGTAGAATCTTCATATATTGGCAGGTTGGAGCTTGGAAAAAGTGCACTGACTATTATAAGAATGGAAACTTAGTGGAAGTGTTATTATCACAGCACTTCCTGATTTTTAGTGATCCGTCCAGAAGAATCAGTGAGAGAATCATAGTTTAGTGGGGGAGTTATGGAGAGAAGATTAATTATGGCTTCTGTGAAGGCGAGGAATACATCTATTTGCTAACAACTGTGACCAGAGGTGTGTTATAGGAGGGATTTGTGTGATGGGAAGTGTGTGACGGGAGGCGTGTGACGAGAGGTGTGTGACAGGTGGGAGCCATTATGGTGTCTGCTCTGTTATTCCTGCCTAGCTGGAGATCTGTTAAAAGGTATTTGCAGCATGTGTAATGGTACATTATACACACCTGTCATCCACGGGAGGTGTTACTGTCGAGGCGGACGGCCATTCATCTCTTTTTCTTTACTGTTACAGGTGTGGACGGCGACTTGTACGTGGGCGGCGGCTTGGGCGTGGGCGGCGGCTTGTACGTGGGCGGCGGCTTGGGCGTGGGCGGCGGCGGCAGGGATGCATAGTGTGGGTCAGGTTATGGCTCGTGAGGTCCTTAATAACGTCAACAACATTAACTCAGCCCACTACAATGTATCCAGCACAGGTGAACCAAGTTAGAAACTTTCGCCTGTCCTTCCAACAGTATCAGTTTTATACTGAATGTCTTGACGCGCGTGAATAGATCACAAATAAATTTTTTTCACCTTGCAACTTCAGTATCTCCCATCTCTCTCTCTCTCTCTCTCTCTCTCTCTCTCTCTCTCTCTCTCTCTCTCTCTCTCTCTCTCTCTCTCTCTCTCTCTCTCTCTCTCTTCCACTCTTCCTACCTACATGTACACGCTTCTACCTACATATCCGTGCTTCCAAATTATATGTACACGCTTCGTACTAACACGTACACGCTTCCTACTCACACGTACATGCTTCGTACTAATACGTACACGCTTCGTACTAACACGTACACGCTTCCTACTAACACGTACACGCTTCCTACTAACACGTACACGCTTCCTACTAACACGTACACGCTTCGTACTAACACGTACACGCTTCCTACTAACACGTACACGCTTCCTACTAACACGTACACGCTTCCTACTAACACGTACACGCTTCCTACTAACACGTACACGCTTCCTACTAACACGTACACGCTTCCTACTAACACGTACACGCTTCCTACTAACACGTGCATCCGTGCCACTATTGTCTTAGAGCACATCAGTGCACTTCGCAGACGTGGAGTGCAGTTAAAAGAGAGAGAGAGAGAGAGAGAGAGAGAGAGAGAGAGAGAGAGAGAGAGAGAGAGAGAGAGAGAGAGAGAGAGAGAGAGAGAGAGAGAGAGAGAGACTAATCCCTTAAGAATAATGCACACATTACAACAAAGGTAATAATTTTATTTCTTTAAGGGGGTGGATAGGTTAGCCAGTGGAAGGCATCGGTCAGATGACCAAAAGCTCCAGTGGCGGGTCATCATATGACTAAGACTCGAAACACTTGTCCTGTTTCCTAACCAGTCTTACCTAACCTCACCTAACATTACAATAGGCTCTTGCATAAGTATTTAGAGAAGACACGCGAGCCAATACTGTGAGTGTCCAATAATGGGCTTGTGTGTATACCAACGACTTCCCAGCTACTGATACGTCACTTACATTTTCACTTTCCGACCCAAAACTGTATTTCTACTCATTCCGCTTCCCCGTCACTCTCCACTGCACTGTCATCAAGTGTAATGGCATCACAACTGGTAACCTCCGGAGTATAGGTAAGTGAGCCACGAGGATTTACAGACTCCGTGACCGTCACTGTAGGCTGAATTATCTGCTGGGTATTAATGCTGTGGGAAATATCTTTAGATGGCACAGCATGAGGTGATTCGATTCCGCAGTGGCCTATATAATGTGTGGTCCATATAATGTGAAGGATTAGAGTGGTCGTTGAAAGTCCCTTCCCATTATGAGAAGTAAGAACACTTCTTGATAGAGAAGAGGTAGCAACTGTCCTTTCTGGAATAACAATAGGTGAAATGACTCACGATATCGTAATGACACGACTGTAAACAAACCATACCACGGGTGGGGTTAGAACCCGCGATCAGAGTCAAAAAACTCCAGACCGACGCGTTAGCCACTGTGCGTAACGCCTCAGTCTGGAGTTTTATGACTCTCTGATCGCGGGTTCTAACCCCACCCGTGGTATGGTTTAATAGGTAAAATACCATTACACTGCAAAAAAAAAAAAAATATCAATGAGAGTATGTACATACAAAGCGAAATAATCACCAGCTAATTTTTTTTTTTTTTTGCGATTGCGATTATAGGTAACTTTATTTGAATTTCAGAACTGGTTGAAGGTCTCAATGGGATGAATGTCTGTCCTTCAGTTTGAAGCTTAGGGTGACCCAGAAGAGGAATGTTGGGTCTGTTTATCTGAGCAGTATTTAGTTGGATTATCAATGTTGGTATTAGGTAAGGAAGGAAGGCGGTAGAATTCATGGCAGGAGTGTTGACCTGCTGCTGCAAGGTGCTGGCTTGCGCCTTTACAGTCTCATTATCCCTAACAGCAGCCTTGTTTCATGAACATTGGAAAGAACCTTCAGTGTGGCTCTGGAAACAGAAAACACATTACAGATTAGTTTTTCAGGTGCACTCTGCCACCGTAAGAAGGAATTTGTTTGTTGAGTAGTCATATCTGAATCATTCAAAACAATGTTGATTCTCAGAATGCTGCTCCCTAGATATTAGGTGAGGCTCACAGCGTGATCCGATACAAGATAGCATTTTTGTGTCTTCACACTTGTTCAAAGTATCCTTGAATTGTCCGATTTGTTGTATTAAGAATCTTATAAACTCTAATGGCTTTCACTTCTTTGTTTGCTGTTTGACTCGAGGTATTGTGACTTGTGCCACTCAAGGTACTGTGACTTTTATTCTTTAAAACTAGTATTCCCATCTAAGGCGTGTTATTTCTAACAGATATGAGCAATGACTGGATGCTAATGTTAGGACGAGACCCGATTGAGTTGGCAGGGCTTCAAGAGGGCGATATCCTGCCTTCCCCTGAGAGTAGTAGCTGGCAAAACAAGGTAAGTTCATGCCAGCTGCTGTAGTGAGATCGTGGTACACTTGAATAAGGCACATGCGCACCACTACGGTATCTTTACTGTCAACAATAAAGATACCTAAGTGTTGCAAATATGTCTTAATTATGAAGATTAAGACGGTGTTTCTATGAAGTAACTTTTGTGACTAATTTCAGTATTCCTGTAAAGAGTTTATTACCACTGTAACATGTTATGTTAACACGATGTAGGGGGCCTCTTCCCTGGACTCATTATGTGCATCTGTAATCTAGATTACTACCATTCTCACAGCTGCTGAATCTTTCATGTTATCTTCGTTGCCTTTCTGAAGTCTCCCGGGTCAGGCTGACCTTGTATGAGCTCCACTGTGATGGACTGTGACAAGGAAACATAGCTAGCTTTTGTTCCCACTGTGTACCTATCTTAAAGAATAAGGTAGTAGTACACTGCTGATGTAACAAAACCATTATACCAACTAGTCGAATATTTCTTGATATTTTTCCTCTGGTGATTATCGTAATGGAGTTATTAACATAATTTAAGGTTATTAATATAAATAAGAGTTTATTATATATATTATAACCTTGGGCGAAACATCACTAGGACGTCGTAAAGCCTCAAACTTCAACTAACTTTAATTACATTAATAATATTGAGGACGCAAAATTTTGTTTATAAAGGAAATCATAACTTACGTAATACACATAAATTATTTAATAAAAATATTATCACTTTCAAAATATACAGTATGATCAGATGTCCTAAAATAAGTTAACACCACCAGGTATACTGGTAACACCACCAGGTATACTGGTAACACCACCAGGTATACTGGTAACACCACCAGGGATACTGGTAACACCACCCCGGTATACTGGTAGACCCCCACCAGGTATAACTGGTAACACCACCAGGTATACTGGTAACACCACCAGGTATACTGGTAACACCACCAGGTATACTGGTAACACCACCAGGTATACTGGTAACACCACCAGGTTTTACTGGGAGCACCACAGGTATACTGGTAACACCACCAGGTATACTGGTAACACCACCAGGTATACTGGTAACACCACCAGGTATACTGGTAACACCACCAGGTATACTGGTAACACCACCAGGTATACTGGTAACACCACCAGTAAAATGGTAACACCACCGGTATACTGGTAACACCACCAGGTATAAATGGTTTAAAACCACCAGGTAAACTGGGAACACCACCAGGTATACTGGTAACACCACCAGGTATACTGGTAACCCACCAGGTATACTGGGAACACCACCGGGTATACTGGTAACACCACCAGTATACTGGTAACCCACCAGTATACTGGTAACACCACCAGTATAACTGGGAAAAACCACCAGTATACTGGTAACACCACCAGGTATACTGGTAACCCACCAGGTATACTGGTAACACCACCGGGTATACTGGTAAAACCACCAGGTAAAACTGGAGCACCCCCAGGTATACTGGTAACACCACCAGGTATACGGTAACACCACCAGGTATACTGGGAACACCACCAGGGAACTGGTAACACCACCAGGTATACTGGTAACACCACCAGGTATACTGGAAACACCACCAGGTAAACTGGTAGCACCACCAGTATACTGGTTAACAAACCCCCAGTATACTGGGAACACCACCAGGTATACTGGTAAAACCACCCGGTTATAAATGGGACACCACCGGTAACTGGTAAAACCACCGGGTATACTGGGAAACCACCACCAGGTATACTGGTAACACCACCAGTAAAACTGGTAACACCACCAGGTATACTGGTAACACCACCACAGGGATACTGGTAAAAACCACCAGGGATACTGGTAACACCACCAGTTATACTGGTAACACCAAACCCGTATACTGGTAACACCACCAGGTATACGGTAACACCACCGGTATACTGGTAACACCACCAGGTATACTGTAACACCACCGGTATACGGTACCACCACCAGGGATACTGGTAACACCACCAGGTATACTGGTAACACCACCAGGTTTTACTGGTAACACCACCCGGGATACTGGTAACACCACCAGGAATACTGGTAACACCACCAGGGATACTGGGAACACCACCAGGTAAACTGGTAACACCACCAGGTATACGGTAGCACCACCAGGTTTTACTGGTAACACCACCAGGTATACTGGTAACACCACCAGGGATACTGTAACACCACCAGGATAACAGGTAACACCACCAGGTATACTGGTAGCACCACCAGGTATACTGGTAACACCACCAGGTATACTGGTAACACCACCAGGTATACTGGTAACACCACCAGGTATACTGGTAACACCACCGGGTATACTGGTACCACCACCAGGTATACTGGTACCACCACCAGGTATACTGGTAACACCACCAGGTATACTGGTAGCACCACCAGGTATACTGGTAACACCACCAGGTTTTACTGGTTAACACCACCAGGTATACTGGTAACACCACCAGGTATACTGGTAACACCACCAGGTATACTGGTAACACCACCAGGTATACTGGTAACACCACCGGGTATACTGGAACCCCGGGTTTTCTGGTTTCCACCACCAGGTATACTGGTAACACCAACCAGGTTACTGGTACCACCCCCCAGTATACTGGTAACACCACCGGGTATACTGGTAACACCACCAGGTATACTGGTAACACCACCATGTATACTGGTAACACCACCGGGTATACTGGTAACACCACCAGGTATACTGGTAACACCACCATGTATACTGGTAACACCACCGGGTATACTGGTAACACCACCCGGTATACTTTGGGAACACCAAACCAGGTATACTGGTAACACCACCAGGTTACTTTACACCACCAAGGTATACTGGGTAAACACCACCAGGTATACTGGTAACACCACCAGGTATACTGGTAACCACCACCAGGGATACTTTGGTAACACCACCAGGTATACTGGTAACACCACCAGGTATACTGGTAACACCACCAGGTATACTGGTAACACCACCAGGTATACTGGTAACACCACCAGGTATACTGGTAACACCACCAGTAACTGGGAACAAACCCCCAGGTATAAATGTAACACCACCGGGTATACTGGTAACACCACCAGTATACTGGTAACACCAAACCGGTATACTGGTAACACCACCAGGTATACTGGTTTAAAACCACCCGAAAACTGGTAACACCCCCGGGGATACTGGTAACACCACCAGGGATACTTGGTAACACCAAACCCGGGGATACTGGTAACAAACCCCCAAAGGTATACTGGTAACACCACCAGTAACTGTAACACCACCGGGGATACGTAACACCACCGGGTATACTGGTAACACCACCAGGTATACTGGTAACCCACCAGGTAACTGGTAACACCACCAGGTATAGGTAACACCAAAAACCCTATACTGGGAACACCACCAGGTATACTGGTTACCACCACCAGTAAAACTGTACACCAACAGGTATACTGGTAACACCACCAGGTATAACTGGTAACCCACCAGGTATACTGGTAACACCACCAGGGAACTGGTAACACCACCAGGTATACTGGTACACCACCAGTAAACTGGTAACACCACAGGTATACTGGTAACACCACCCGGGATACTGGTAACAACCACCCGGTAAAACGGAACACCACCAGGTATACTGGTAACACCACCAGGTAAAACTGAACCCCCACCAGGTATACGGTAACACCACCAGGTATACTGGAAACACACCAGGTATACTTTGGTAACACCAAACCCGGTTTTACTGGTAACACCACCAGGTTTTACTGGTAACACCACCAGGTATACTGGTTAACACCACCAGGTATACTGGTACACCACCAGGTATACTGGTAACACCACCAGGATATACGGTAAAAACCACCAGGTATACTGGTAACACCACCAGGTATTAAAACGGGAACGCACCACCAGGTATACTGGTTTCACCACCAGTATACTGGTAACAAACCACCAGGTATACTGGAACAACCACCAGGTATACTGGTTACACCACCATATACTGGTAACACCACCAGGTAACTGGTTAACACCACCGGGTATACTGGTAACACCACCGGGTATACTGGTAACACCACCGGGTATACTGGTAACACCACCAGGTATACTGGTAACACCACCAGGTATACTGGTAACACCACCAGGTATACTGGTAACACCACCAGGTATACTGGTAACACCACCGGGTATACTGGTAACACCACCGGATATACTGGTAACACCACCGGGTATACTGGTAACACCAGGTATACTGGTAACACCAGGTATACTGGTAACACCACCAGGTATACTGGTAACACCACCAGGTATACTGGTAACACCACCAGGTATACTGGTAACACCACCAGGTATACTGGTAACACCACCAGGTATACTTTAGCACCACCAGTATACTGGTAACACCACCAGGTATACTGGTAACACCACCATGGTTTTACTGGTAAACAACCCCCCAGGTATACTGGTAACACCACCAGGTATACTGGTAACACCACCAGGTATACTGGTAACACCACCAGGTATACTGGTAGCACCACCAGGTATACTGGTAACACCACCAGGTATACTGGTAACACCACCAGGTATACTGGTACACCACCAGGTTTTACTGGTAACACCAACAGGGATAATGGTAACACCCCCCAGGTATACTGGTTACCCACCCGGTATAAATGGGAACACCACCAGGTAAACTGGTAACACCAACCAGGTAAAACTGTAAACACCACCAGGTATACTGGTAACACCACCAGTATACTGGAAAACCACCACCAGGTATACTGGGTTTCACCACCAGGTATACTGGTAACACCACCAGATACTGGTAACACCAAACCCGGTTAACGGTTACACCACCAGGTATACTGGTAACACCCCCCCAGTATACTGGAAAAACCACCAGGTATACTGGTAACACCACCAGGTTACTGGTAACACCACCAGGTAAAAACTGGTAACACCACCAGGTATA